TGTGTGTGTGTGTGTGTGTGTGTGTGTGTGTGTGTGTGTGTATATATATATATATATATATATATATATATATATATAGTATATGAAGACTAACTGCTCTAGATTTGGCCAGTGATGTTATAATGTCATAGGTGGACAGGATTAAACTTCAAAGGTGGGAAGATTGAAACCTTCAAAGTAGAAAAACAGCCCAAATGGAGGGGGGGGGTAGTGCTTGTTGAGGGTTTATGGGATGAAAAGAGGCATCTTTTTCATTCCTGGAAACTTGTTTCCATCCCTAAAAGAATATATTGGAAATCTTGGCCTATCCACTTTAAAGATGATCTAGAGGTCATAGAAGAAATTTTGGGTGACTTGAAGAAGCTTACAGGCTTCAGGTTGTGTGTATAAGGTGGTAAATTCCATTCCAACCTCTCCCACTCATACTAATCTCAAGAATATCCCTTAGTAATCCCCCTACCTTTTCTTTAGCCCCTCACCTCTAACATAAACAGGAGATGGCTGATGGTAGGTGCTTCGGACAGCAGGCCCTTCAGCATAATATCCATGGTGTCAAAGGATGATCTGTAGAGAGCCTGTAAGGGAAGGAAACTGCAGGCTGATCTCTCAAGGTGGAATTCTCCAGCTTTATTATAAACCAGCTATCGAAAGAGCAGCAAATTTATTATGGCATATGTTGTCGTGGACTTATGCATCTCCATTTCATTAGACACATAAAATATTATCATTCATTGGTTGATGTGTCTGTAAGCACACACATGTGCATGCATGTGAATGTATGTTTGGAAAAATGTGTGGGAACAAAAGGTAGCATCTACTCCCCTCTCACCGATTTCTGGGACATACATTTCTGCATCACCGTCCTCAGTATGGAACATCACTCAGCAACATGAGCCTAAAAAAGCACAGCATATTTGCCCCAGCGCGGAAAAGCTTAATCTCTATTTACCATACTATGAGCATCGCCTGCTTGCGTTTCCATGCTGAACACACCATGAAGGGACAACCGCAAAATGCCTGTTTCTAGCTCAGAAGCAAGAGGGGGCTTCATTTTGCTGATAAAATAAAGAGAGAAGGCATAGGTTATGCACTAGGAAAGAGGGACCGAGTGCCTTATTTAATAGAAACCCACCTCTCACAGTTTGTCTTCTGCAGAGAACGTGCAAACAGACCACCCATCAGTTCATTCTGTGTGTGTGTGTGTGTGTAGAGCAAGAGCTATATCAAGATCATGAAGTGGAATAGAAGGGGAGTCATTCTAAGACTTCTGATTTATAAAGGAGAATCAAAAGCAGCTTATTGTTATTAGGTGAATGTCAATGCATTTGATTTAATGCATATTGAGTATAACATTTGTCCTCAGAAAGAAATGACAGTGTGACAATTAATATACTAGTAACAAAAATGAAGGTGAAAATGTCTGAATATCATCAACATTGGTGGCAGAATTAACAAAACAAGTTCTCATATTTGCAAAGAGAGCAAAGATTGAGAGTTTAGAGGAGCACTGATAGAAATAGGAAGCAAAGAAGAGACCAAGGTGGTAGATGGTGAGGAGAGATGTAATTTTTAGCTCTGTGCAGGATTGAAGAGACGAACAGCATGCAGTGGAATATGTATGTCTGACATCGAGCGTCCAAGTTTGTTTCTCAAATGAAGAGGGCCATGAACACTGCTAACTGGAGATACTACTTTCCTCTACTTTGGCTTTATGAAGAGACAAATCCCAGCTATAGAACTAGGACAAAGGTAATTTTTTGGCAGGTAGCAGTTACCTCAGGTTGTAGACAGCGAGCATAGAACAGGAGAGAATGAAAGACGGGACTGAGTGGCTGGGCAATGTCTCCATCACCATCTGAAAGAGATGGAGAGGACATGTCAAAGGGGCAAGAGTATTGCATGCTGTACTGTCAGGGTGCCTGTCTGATGACAGCCTTGAGGTCCAGTTGCCTCCATTTTTATCTTCGGTTTACTTCCGCTGTTCCTTGATTAGAACAGCCAGGGTAACTTCAGCCCTCTCCCTCAGGTTTTCGTTTGGATGTGGTGGCACACTTCTGAATTCTGCAAACGAGGCCTGCTTCCCCCAATAATCCTGCCTTGAAAATCCAAGGCTTACTCTCTATTCTTTAGCAGCCATCTTCCCCCTGGGTCTGGCTGGGCTCGGCTCTCACTCACCACTAGGGCCTCAGTCAATTCATTTTTTGTATACGGAAGATCCAGCGTGTCTTGGCCACATTTTTGTGCAGCCACGCAACTTGCAGAAATGGCGCGGAGAAAACCAATATTTTCTTCGTGGTTGTCCAGGAACTGCTGGAATTATTAACAATCAGAGTTATGAATATAGATATGATTTCACTGTTTTATTTTTGTTAATCATCATCAGGATTATTACTTTTAAAAAAAATAGTATGCAGGCATACAAATGAATCCAACACAAAAGTAGACCACGCCTGCAATAGAAAAGTAGCCCCAAAGGAAAAGAAGACTTTTGAGGGAATGAGGCTTTTGATTGACTCTTTCATCTACTTGTAGCTAAACTTTCACAAAAAGTTTCTGAAACAGAGAATCTAAAGATGTTTCAGACTGAGGACTAAATAAGTCAGATGAAAAAGTAGAAGGTTTGGCCATTTCTTCTGATCCAGGATTGCAGATGTCACATTCTAGACATTCCCTCCTAAAGGGAGGAGGAAGTTGCCACAGGAAAAAAATGGAGCTTAGATCACGTAGATGATTCTTTCCCCCCCTCTACTTGTTAAATAGAATACTGAATTTCCCCACAGGGAAAAGAATAAAGAAAAGAGAGGGTGGCTGGGTCTTCCCTTTCACATTAGATGATCTAATGTTTAATGTGCTTCTGGGGAAGGATCCACTTCCTTATCTGTCCAGTACCACCCACACAGGAATTCCAGACTCTTAGGGGCAGAAATTCTTTCCTCATACAATGCTTTTGGAAAATGGACATGATGAACTGTCATGTATAGTCACTTCCCAAGGGTGTTTGAGGTTTCTATTTGTGTGGGAGGAAGCAGGCAGGAAGTGATGGCAAGCCAAATTGCTGATGAATTTGGGATCCTCCCAGATTCTCTGGTGGTTACCCTGTAGCATGGATGAAGGTGTAATGCCCAGGGCAGAAACTACCATTTCTTTCCCTTCTAGCTTTTCCAACCACCTTTCCTTTCACTTTGAGCAGTGCTGGGCCCACCTGTTAACTCCTCCCCAAGCTGTCAGAACACCTTGGCCCAGATGCTGTTCTTAGCATGACCAAAACGTTTATCAAGGCTTCCACCAATGCTTTTCATTTATGAAAAGAAGAGGAAAAAGAAAAGGAAGGAAGCCTATTTTCAAATTAACGTAGGTACAGAAAGGTGGTGCAGGTGGTAGTGAAGAATTAGGGTAATCAACTGAAGAGAACCTGATCTGTGCTGACCTGGAGTGGGATACATATTAACTGTATATTCAGACATGCATGATCATCAAAACACTCCTTTTAGGATAGGGAAACATATGCCGAATGCAGAAAAGACTAAGAATAATAAGCCAAAGAAATGTGAATCATGAGATAAGAAAAAGAAAAGGAAGCATAATGAAAACATCGCTACTAATTGAAGATATTTCATTAAGATTAATTGATATTGATTTGGCTGGGGAATGAATGGGCTTGCCTTCTAAGCAATTTCATTTCTAGTCCTTTTTGAAAGTGCATGTGTCTATGTTTGGGCAACGTCCCAAAAAATATAATCAGCACATCAATAAATATCCAACTAACCTAATATTTATACAGCATCCTGTTCTCACTTACTAGGAAAAACACCCTCATCATTAATACACCCCACCCAAAGTCTTTGTGGAAAAGCAAAGCTTTTTAACTACTTCTCAGAATATCATCCGGGCTGGGTCTGCCCTTGGTTTGAGGGGAGGGAGGGAGGGAGGAGGAGCTGTTCCAAAGGAAAGGGATCATGACATAGAATGCCTCTCCATCAGTATTTCTTTGTGGACAGGATCTTGCATATGCCCTCTCTCTTAGACCAGATTGGACAGGCAGATTCTACCTGGAGTGGACAGTCTCACCCTGGTTCCAGGCCATGTAAGACTTTATAGATGATAACTAGCACCTTGGGTTGCACCTGGAAGCCAAGTGACAGCTACAAGAAATGTGTCAAGATTTCTTCTTTAGATTAAAGATGTCTTCTGGTTGCCTCCTTCAAGAGTAATATAGAAGCTGGTACCTTGTTTTCACTGTGAGCGCATTCCATGAGATTTACAATGGCTTCCACATCCAATATGGTGCTGGGTTGGTCCAATTCAGCTGACATGAAGGACTGGCATGTTGAATCCAAGGTGTCTACTGATGAAACTGTGGGAAAGATACAGCAAGAGGATGAGATGATGGCTCAGTGGGGAAATGGTGGCCCTTGGGATGCAAGATCTTACCCTTCCTGTTAAATGGTTATGCCATTTGTTTCACTATAACATCGGGAGAAGTTTGCCCTTGCCTCAACATCTGCCAGTATCTGGGTAGTGATGTGCCCCCTGCTTCCAGAGGTGGCCCCTCAAATTCCATTTACTTGAGCCAGTAGAAGTTGGGAAAACTTAGCATCCCCGTCATTTTCCCAAACAAGCTTTTGGGCTCCCCCTTATCCCTTAGGCTCCCCTTACCTGCAGTCTCAGATCCCCCCGTATTTGTGCTATCTGTGGCGATGCTGATTGCGTTTGAGTTACGGGGTCTGGAATAAACATCCAGCCGGTCACTTTTGGAGCACGATTTGCTTTGTTGCTTTTCTGCCTGGGGTTTGAAGCCCTGGGGGCTGATTTTACAATTACTGCAGCAGGTCCAGAATGTTCTAACTTTTTCCCCATCACCTATCGAATTGTCCCTGCTTGCTCGGCAAAAGTGAAATGCCCGGGGTCTTGTTGGTGGTTTCTCGAGGCTTCTTGTGGGTGACCTGTGGACTTCCATGCGTTGGCTGCCTTGAGAGAGGGAACCCGAAGAAGTGGCAGGCTGTCGGTCCGGAATGGGGTTGTTCCCCTCTTCTGGGGCTCCCATGTTGGCATTCCTATTTTGAATGAGGATCCGAAGCCTTTCTAGCCTAAAGCAGAGGAGGAGAAAGTGAGGGTTTATCAACACCCAATTGGACGTGCCGCCAGGCAGTCTGAACTGTCCCAAACTTCCATGGGCCTCTTGTGCAGTGCGGGTTATTAAAGCATCTCTATTTCTCTTGGAGAAAATTCCCCAATCAATCTTTTCTATTCTCTGCTCCAAATCACTCTTCCTTATCCAGCAGCTAATATCGTCAGCGACTGAGCTCATGTCAGCTGCAAGCATTTGGGGGTTTGATTCAATTAGCGGTTTTGAAATAAAATTTCATTTTCTTTTGAGAACGTGCTTTGTTATGATCTCTCTATCTATTTGGAATGATGACTTATTAACAAGCAGGGTGGACTGTTATGCTACAATTGCTACGGGAAGTGTTGGGGTTGCCCTTGGCTGCCATTCTGTATATATTTATTATTATTGTTTTTTCTGATTGTTAGTGGCTTGTCCTTGATGGACTTTTAAACTTTATTAACTTTAACTTTATTACTTGCTATTGTGAGATGGGCAGCCATATAAATTGGCTCAACAAGTAAACAGGTAAAATAAATAAATGAGAACAGTTTTAAACTGTATTGTTCGTTCTGGACTGAAATATACCTCCACTGTTCCAAATTTGGTACTTCATTGTCACTTGATGAGTCAGTTAGGAAAAAAAGCTGCAATCTGTTTTGATACACAAGTGGTGGCATCTTTGTGGCAGTGCCCAATGTCATATCTGGGCTGCAATCCTCAATGTGACCGCTAGAAGACTGTGAAGAGATGCAGAACATGCTAATTCTTTGCTCTCGTCTAGAAGTTGATTGATTTTTGGCAGCCCAGAGAGAGCAACTCCTTTGCTTAGGCAGAATCAGCCAGATAATCTCATTTATTGACCAATGACATTTTTCTAAGGACCACAAGACTTTGTTGGCTTTGCTGCAAGAAACTAATGTCTGTACGAGGGGTGCACTTGCTATTCACATTACTATTGGAATAAGTTGGAATGAATTGAGTAATTTAATATAACTTCAAATCACTCTGTTGATATTGCTTATATTTTGGCAGAGGACAGTCATTGTATAATAATAGCTAGTTAGGAACATCCAATAACAATTCCATAGAATTATTTGTTCATCTATTTCAATCTGTTATGGCCACCCACTCCAATACATCTTCATAAAAGACAAAACAAAGTATAGGAATCATGCTGCTTAATAAGCCCCTGAGAAAAATGGCTACTTTAACTTCCAGGCCCAGATGACATTTCAGCTTTAATGTTAACATTTGGAGGAAATGGCATCCAGGGTTTGTGAAGCATTTTTGGAATTGTCATAATGGAGTTTCTTCTGAGTTACTTTTCAGGGCAGCTTAAAAGTACTGGTTTTGATCTTTGAAACTCTAAGCCAGTGTTTCTCAACCTTAGCAACTTTAGGGTGTGTGGACTTCAACTTGCAGACGCCCCCAGCCATCTTAAGTTGCTACGGTTGAGAAACACTGCTCTGAGCCAATTCTGTGCCTCCCATACATGCTGGGCTATAATGCCACATTTGTGGGCAGAAGAAATTTACAAGCCAGCAGATCTGGAAAGCCTTAAACTGCTACGAGCAGAATCGTTGAAAGGTTTCCTGTGTTCATGTGCCAGGATCATCCATGGAGAACCGGCTTTGAATTATTTTGCCATTTTGGGTGGCTACTTGAGCAACATCCCAGGAAGACAATGCAGCTCCAGAAAATAGGACAAAGAATGGGCAGATAGTTGTTTACAATCTGCAAATAATGTAAAGATATTTAGAATAATTTCAGGAAGAGCAGACTATGCTAAGCCATCGTGTAATGTGCTTGTTTATACTTCAGTTGCTAAAGTGATGATACTCAATGAACTGAGGGCTATACCAGAATTACTTGCACAGCGTGTTAAGCATCAAGGAGCGTTTATCATTAGTAGTAGTAGTAACATCTCTCATGAGGGTGGAAGAGGAGGCTCCAACAAGGCTTAAGGAAGCCCAGGGACATTCACAGAGGGGTGGTCAATAACGTCAAGATGGTGGCCCCATTCACTCTAAAGGCTGGGAGTGGGGAACCACAAAAGGGTTGCTGGTGGGCTGCCCCCAGCCACAGGCCACTACTTTTGCTCTCCTAATTTTGTATATCATGTGACCCTGTCAACTGCAGTTTTTAAAATGAACCATGGCTTATTTTGCTATGGAAATACAGTCTACATTGCACCATAGTGGACAAAGTTGTGACCAGGTGGCCAACATACCTGTTCAGCCTGTTGTCCACAGTGCTAAATTTTGATGGGAAAATTCAAGCTCTTTTCTTCCAGTTTATTTATCACTGGCTTTGCACTTGATAACTTGTCAAACAGAAGTCTCTCTTTTGTAAAAGAGGACATATGGCCACACATATCACGATGCACACAAAAAATTAAAACATTGTACTTACATCTCTAAATGTAGGGTATATCTTCCTTTCCCTCCAAGAAGTGGTCTAGGAAAAAGAAGTATTTAAAAATTGCTCTCTGGCTCTAGCCCAAATCAGGAGAAAATTCACATACCAATATAGTCACCCACCAAGCAGCCTAGCACAGAAGTACACACACAAACATGCACACACACACAGAGAGAGAGAGAGAGAGAGAGAAAGAGAGAGAGAGCGCTTCCTAACTGAGGGGAAGAAGTACCCCAAGTGAGGAGTATCAGATTCAGTGAATATTGACCCAAATGCCTTAGATTTTATATTTTTCTCTCTGCCCCACCCTCTGCCTCCCCACAAACACTTTTTTCTAGTTGGGAACAGAACAGGAGTATGGCTTTTTGAAGAGTTTAAGGGCAAGTTGGTGATTATGGCTTCTGTACATTTCACAGAGTCTTTTAAAGATGCATCATCTGTTGGCCACAGAAATACCTCCTTTCCTCTGAGCACAGAACAATACTTCAAAGAGAGCAAAGATGAGCACCACCAACAAAACAGGAAAGAAAAGCAGCCGCCTCACAACTCACAAAAGGCCTCTGGTTGATAAATGAACCAGCAAAGACAGATGTCACAATGGGAGACACGTCACTGTTACCTTAGCAACCTGGGCATTATTCCTCTTCTTACTATCTTGGGATTTTTTTTTCTTTAAGGTTCAATTTGTTCACAAATTAATATACTTGTTTTTTGGCTTAGGTTTGAACGAAGACCCAAAGGGTCTTTCTTCCCCACTTGTATCTAACTACAGTATGAAGATGCCCCAGTAACTGCTGTATCTGCTGGGGCCCCTTGATGTTGCTTGTATCATATTCCTGGCCCATATTCCTGACAGCCTTTAATTGTCCGTAGCTTTCCTGGTGCGGAAGTAGTGTTTTCCCTCTTAAGCAGAGAACAAGCCAGAACAGTTTTACCATTGGCACAATTTGATATGTTTCACCATTGGTGGCACTGACAGGTGACCCCTAGGGAGTGGGATCAGCCCAGCAGCTGGTGACTGCTTTAGGCACAACGCCTCCCATCACTTTCTGCTTTGGGGCAGCAAGAAAGGTGTGAGCCTCCTCTCTCCATTTGCCTGACACCTCTCTAGCCCGGCAGCTGATCCCCGGTTGGACAAGGTACCATGTATATAGGGGTGGGGTGGAAGGTAGGACCTGACAGACCCCTACACCCATGGTTCTAGCCATCTCTCAAAATTATTACCCATCACAGTACGGTGGATGGTTTGTCTGCTGGCCAATGATGTTGAGAAGTTGAAGAGGAGGGCAGTCTTCCCTCCATGGGAAGTGAGGACACTGTCCTCTGCTTGCAAACCAGAACAGAAACAACTGGAATTAGCAATGAGGACAGCAAAAATCTATGCCACTTTAATTTTCCACTGGCCCTGGCTAACATATCAAGACCTATTAATACAGGAGGATGGAGAAATTAAGATGAAGTCAAGAGAACAATTGACTGCAGAAGGACATCGTTTTTATGGTTTTCATATGCACAGCTAAAAGAAAGGTTTAATATGGATATAAAGACAATTGCATTTGAAAAATACAAAATGGAATTTGAAATTAAATTATGTACAAATGATGAACATGTAATAGCAAAAATGTAAAAACTTTTGTTAAGGTTTGAAACAGGAGAAGAACAAGTTAAGGATTGCATGACAAAATGGGCTATTAATTTTGGATATAACATAACAATGGGCACTTGGGAGAGAATGTGGGTAACTGGTATTAAATTTACACCATGTCATAATTTAAGAGAACATTTTTATAAAATGATGTATCTTTGGCATATGACACCAGAGAAATTATCAAAAATGATAAAACGACAAAAACCTATCTGAAACACTGGAAACCTTATATGGACTTTTTGCTGAAAGAAGAAAGAAATGACATGATTTATGGGTTTGTAAATTAAGAAAGATGTAGATTAAATGAGGAGTTGAAGGGACTTGTATAATATCTAAGAGGGAGGACTATGTTGAAAAGAAGGTCGGAAGTTAAGAAATTTCTTAACTTTAGTTTTTTTTTTCCTTTCCTTTTTTCCTTTCTTGCACTCTTTCTCTTTCTTTTGATTTGTCTTTTATTCTATGAAAAAAATCTTAATAAATATAAATAAAAAATAATAATTTTCTGTTGGCCCATAGCTGGGAGGAAAGCACTTTAACTGAGGTATTTGTGCCAGTGTGATGTTTATGCATGTTAATATTTTGCCTAGATCTGTCATAGTCTTTCTCCCAAGTGACAGACGCCTCTTTATCTCATGTCCACAGTCATCATCTCTGAGCATTTTGGAGCCAGGAAGATAAGTCCCCTTCTCCAAGTACTCTTAAAGAGGATTATATCGAAACACTTATGTCAAGAACAGGCAATATTTTGAGGTTGATAATTATATATTAATTTTGAAAGCAAGTTGTAGGTACATTCACAAAATGGCAACTATGGGAGGATTTCCCTATTCACAAAAAACACGCCTAGATGAAATCACCTTCACGTACCCACTACCCAGTGTGCCCATGTTGCATCCAGCTTTTCTTTTCTGGGCAGGAGGGCAGAATTCCAAACAAGTGGAGTTTGCTCACCATTTTTCTTTTCAGCAAATACTTATGAGAGGCCCAGAAGCTGCCTTATACCTAAAGGTGCTGCTAAAGATTGTGACTTTGTTTTGTAGCATCTCAGTTTCCCATTCATTTATTTTAACTGAATTGGTGTTAAAAATAACTAAATAACATCCAATAGTGTATGGATCCTGGTGGGTGATGAGACAGGTTTGGGGGGGTTCCACGTTGCCCCCAAGTATCACAACGTCTATCTCATGCCATATTTCATTTCTCAGCAAGGAAATCTGCTTATTGTTTTTCTCTCTTCTCTCCCTTTCTTGAGGCCCTGAGTCTTGTGAAGCCACTCCCGGGAGTGCTGAATCCCTGGGGTACAAATGTCATTACAGGCATATGTAGTCTTCGAACCCATCATTCCAAAACTGGATATTGCGCTGAGATTTCAGGAACCAGGATCCTATGAGTTGGAAGGCCATCTAGTCCAACTACTGGGAAAGTCAGGCTAGAAGTGGGGGATAGGTGTGTCTGAGGATGTCCAGGGAGGGACATTTTGTTTTAGAAAGTGAATAAGGAGACTATCCACTGGAAGGATTGTGGATGGAAAGGGGGCAGGTTAAGGATCACAACCTGAATAGAGAATAGGGAGAATTCTGAAGCAGCTTCACTTAAGAACAGCATGCCTGGCCCCTCCATACGTGGTTTTCAGTTGCTCTCCATGCACTGTTTAAACATAGTCTTTCTATACATGAAAGAGTACGTGAGCACTAGTTCCTAGAAGGTGAACATCTCTAACAGCATAATTAGTAACAAGACCAAGGCTGTCTTTCATGCAGTCAGTCTGGCTGGTGGTTCCAACCTGCTCTGTATATCTGCTTCGGAGGTCGACAACTGTTTTCAGTTGGCTAAAGTCTCCAGTAAATCAGATTGTGCACGTAGCTTGTAGGCTACACAACTGTGGGGGAAAGAAAAGGAAGCAAAATGGAGCAAGTGAATTAATTTCCATGGTTGAATGGCTTCACCTATGTTTTTGAATTACTCAACATTTTATTTACTTGAGGTTGGACAATGGATAATCCTCTTATTTGGCACCTGACCCCAGGACTATCTCAAGATGTTTTGCTTCTGGAGAAGGAGAAAAAAAATCTGCTTTTCTTTCTTTCTCAAGATAAATCTTATAATACGAGTATTATAATATAATATAATATAATATAATATAATATAATATAATATAATATAACATTTAGATTTTTAAAATATTTATATTATATTTACAGCCAGTTTGGTCTAGTGGCTAAGGCATCAGGCTAGAAACTGGGAGACTGTGAGTTCTAGTCCCGCCTTAGGCATGAAAGCCGGCTGGGTGACTCTGGGCCAGTCGCTCTTGCTCAGCCCAACCCACCTCACAGGGTTGTTGTTGTGGGGAAAATAGGAGGAAGAAGGTATGTTTGCTGCCTTGAGTTATTTATAAAAATAATAAAGGTGGGATAAAAAATCTAAAAAAAAAAAGCAATCTGAGGTGCAAAACCCTACAAGTATAGCATAACCAACCAGAAACAAATACGTCAAAGTTTAGGCTAAAGACTTTTGTGGATGTTCCTAAAGAAAAGAAGAGTTTATGCAAAAGATAACCTGTTGGAGCCTCTGACCAGATTTCAATCCACCTAAATCCACTCACTGGATTTCAGTGAGAGCATTAGCAGCCCAGAGTCCAGAATGACACAAATACTGCCATCTTCTTGAACATATATGGAAATTTGGAGAGACGGCAATCCTCAGTGTTCTCAGCTCTTGGGTCATGCAAGGATTTTGCTTAGCTCTTCATTCTCTGCAAGGGTTCTGTAATATATAATTTACACAAATGCAGGAGCAGTAAATTATGACCTCCTTGGGGACATGGCTGTGGGGTCCATCATAATGAATTACATTGGCCCAGTGCCAGCCTCCTGCTCCAGGAATTTGAAAAATCTTTGCCTTGAGCTAAATCTTGAGCCAATGAAATTTTAGGAATCTGGGTTTATGCAGATAAGGAAAATCAGCTTTGTCTTTCAAAAGTTCAGTTTGCCCTTAGTTTGCTTTACCTGATAGGAAAAATACTCAGGACACTGATGCCACATGAGAGAAGGAAGCAGAAACCACTGAACCAGCCCAGGGTTTTTTGGTAAATTTTATTATAGACGGTTGATGTCACAACTCCAGTGATCACTAGTGACAACTGCAGGAGAACAAACACTTTTCCTAGAAAAAAAGAGCAGATGTAAGATTCAATGAAAAAGAATTTAGGGCATCTTTCTACTATAATCCAGATCACTTATAATTTCTATAGCTAATTTATCTTAAAAAAAAAAGTAATTACAGTGTAGTAACGATCTGAGAGCAATTTTTTTTTCCCCCACTTGTGAAAAGTTATCCTAAAGTGTGGCTGCTGGATCGCTTCAGTTTCAGAAAAGTAGGTGGGATTCAGCATGTATTGCATAAACTCCTTGTATAATCATATCTGAACTTCTTGAACCGGTTTGAATATTTGTCATTTTGTAAACAAGCTGTTGTTGCAAGATATTTGCTTACTATTAATAGGACAAGCAACAGCAGTTTAGTGGTAGAAACTAATTCTATTACCAGTTGTGATGCAGGCAATTATTATGTTGCCTTCAGGGAGATAATATTACATAATGGAAAAGATTAGCCAGTGGAACTGCCTCTGAAGAAGAATCTGGAACTATAACAAGTTTAAAATTCTGATGCAGGATTCAGGGGTGGATAGCACCGAGGCAGCAATCCAGTCTCCTTTATGGTAGCTGGGAGGTTATCACTTCCTGACTTTGGAAACTCCCCACGCCCCCAGCCCTGAAATGAGATCAGCTCCATCCCTCCTTATTTTCCAGAAGTCCTTCAAGACTTGGCTGTATCATCAGGCCTGGGGGTCTCAGGGAACCAGGAGATTTTGAGGTGGCTCCCTTGCTGATCTAATCTCGTGTGTGGGTGTTTTAAACTTTTCAATATGACTGTATTTGACGTGTTTATTGTTTTATATATTTTGCTGTACGGCACTCAGTCACTTCTTGTGAGATGGGCGGCCATGTACATTTGATAAATAAATAAATAGGCAGTCAACAAAACTCTAGAGGCCAGTTTGGGCTGAGAGCCACTGCTCATAGGATGGGGAGAGGCTTAGCAATGTTACTCCCCTTTTGCCCCCATTTCAAACCCCTGTCCCCCAAAGCAGTGCTTTTCTTGATTCCCAGATCTATGTTGCGATGTCAAAAGGGTGAGTTAACCCTCTCTTCTAAGTTTGTTCAACCTGACTCAGTGAGGAAAAATAACTTACAATTAATCAAAGATACTTTAGCATTATTTGGAGTCACAGAACATATCAGACCTTTAAATGAACAATTAATTGTATCCCAAACCCAACTTGGCTATAAACTTCCATGGGTTATTCTTCTGAAAGAAGAAATGCCATATTAAATGGGGCGATAGGCCATTTGTCCACTACCTTGTTTCCATCTTGTGTAGGCAAATGAGTTGCCTCCAGAAAGTCTAGACTGGTGGCAGCATATGGTGACTCTGGGTTACTGCTTGACTCCCAATATAGGATCCAAAGTTGATGTCTATGCTAGAATTTTTCTGCTGGGTGGTTGCAAAATATAATTCAACATTTCCCTCCAGTGCCCTAGAAGGTTCTATGACATTGTGGGAAACTTAAAATGGAGGCTTAAAGCTACAGCTGCTACTTTTCATAAGCCTTTGTCCAAAGGAGCCTATGCATTTTCTAAGCATTTTCTAAGGGTGCTTTCAAACCAGTCCTCCTTGTGAATCAGACAATCCTATGGAATCACACACAACAGTTTCTGAATGATGGAAGGGAAGGCATGTGCCTCCAACACATGAAAGCTTTTCCCAAAGCCTAAGGCGCTGATACACATGGAACAGTGTTACAGGTACATGTACAAATTTGGTTCTGATTCATCCAAATCAGATTACTGAATGTTTCTGTGACACCAACTCAGATAATAGGAATAAGCTCAAATCAGCTTATTCTGAAAAGCAATGTTTTCCAAGGAAATAATCACAGAACTGTTTCTTACCATAAGATGAAGCTTCAACGTGTTTGGATAACAAAGATCTGATGGTTGGCAAGGGAATCAGGGCAAAGAGCATCACAGCACGAGCTGTAACAGAGCAGAATGCAGAATGGTCAGGTCAAGCTCCCAGCCTTTTTAACGAAGATCAGGGTGTAGCTGTTTTAGAAAGCATAAACGGAAAGCCTCGGCTTCATGTTTTGGCATGGCTAGCAATCAAAGCAGTTTCCTCCAACTTTATGTCTTGTTTGTTTGATGAAGGATGATGAGAGTTGCAGTCTTAAGACAGCGAGAAGTCAGCTGGTCAAGCTAGGCTGAACGTAGGGGTCTAAAAGCAAACCTCTAAAGTATATTATAATCTCCAGATGCAATGCAGGGAGAGGAGTAACAATAACAGCAATAATAACAATGGTTCATCCTGCTAAATAAGAAGTAATAAATACTTTTCCCTAGACAGCACTATAGGAAATATCAAAGGCAGGACTTATATTCTGGAAAGGTATCTGAAAACCGCTGTCAGAGAGCAGCACCAGGTGTCTGAGTGAGCCAAAGAGAAAGGCTTGCCCGTGCTCCTCAAGGGCCCTACCATCACTGTTCAGAAATCAGGGATTTAAGTTAAAGCAGAGATGGAAAAGCTTTGCATGGTTTGGGGCCGTGAAAGGAAGGAGAGGGCCTGCAATGGGTTGCCTAATACTACAAATGGGTGGGGCTGTGCCATTTAATACGTCTGGAATCAAGAATGTCTATTAATTCTGTAATGTGTGTGCACACACCCACACACACACCCACCCACACATAAACATCTTGCAAGGAATTTTTTTAAATATGCAGTTTCAAAACTAGATGAATTGGTATAGTTTATTTTGTTCTGTCTTACCCTGAAGCCCTGGGAATCCTGAGAGTTGTAATCTAAGGCATTTGGAAAACATCTGTTCAGGGAAGGTTAATCTTGTCTTTCACCCCCTTCAGCTGCACACACCGGCTTTATGGATGCTGAGATCATGCACAAGTAGGTAATACAGTCTTCAGGACAGAATTTAGCTTCTTGAGAAATTTAATTTTCATCTGAGGAGAGAGCAACCTAGCACTAACCCTCATCAGCACAAAAAGATGATTGGAAGTGTGCAGGCAATGTGTGGTAAAGCTTCAGAAGCCACAGGAGAGGCTAAGAGCTTAGAGAACTGTCAATTATTAAAGATGAGGTTTCAGTCATCTGTGACCTCTCCCACTCCTAAAGTTTAGGAGAAATTAAATAAATTATGCAGTATAGTATGATATGCAATTGCATAATGCATTATAAATATCAGAAAAATGGCTTTTATTGCTGCAGAATTGATATTTGTGTTCTAACAGCATCTATAAAGCTGCTTTAGTTAATGACCATACAGATCCTACTTGAAAGTGCAATGGGAGTCACACCTGTGCAGTCTTACAGAGATCTATTCAAAAGCAGAGTGTATTGAGTTTACTTCCATATAAATTAGAATGAGGCTACAGCTTAAATTTACCAAAGGTCAGCATAAAAGAAGAGTAACAAATCTCTCACGAAATGTAATGAAATACGTGGTTTGAATTAATGAAAGGTGTGTGGAAAGGCTCTGACTCACCAATGTAAAACAGGAATGTCCATCGCACAAAGGCCATAATAAGAATGCCAGCTGAGAAGGAGACAATGCCCATCATGATCATGGTGGTATCTCTCAGAAATTTGGAAAACACAAACACTCCCAGGAAGCTGGTGATAAAGATCACATAGCCAGCAGCATTGGCATAGCCAACATACTCTGGTCCCCAGCTCAGTGGCTTCTTGAGGAAGAAGAGCGGTAGCACATTAATTGCTCCAACTACAGCCAAGTCATATAGGATGGCCCCCACAAAGAGCATGGCAATAATGGGCCTGGAAGATCCCAGATGCGGGGAGCTCTCAATTCTATGGAAACGAAAATCCCCATCATCAGCCAAGTTGCTGTCAGGCTGGACCACTTGGGTGGAAGTAGCTGGGTCACAAACGCCAGGCTTGGGGACTTGGAGGACAAATAGACTGTAGATGACACATAAGGCATATAAGGCAACGCTGCAGGAAATCAGCACCATGCCATGCTGGTAACTGAGATGGAATGTAACAAAGAGGTGTCCCGAGGCAATGCTTCCCACAAAACCAGCAATGCCATAGATGAGCTCAATGCTGATGAGACGCAATGATCTTCTGCGCTCAGATGAGCCCTGGGAGGCCAACGCCATGATGCTGGCCCAATACGTGGTGAATCCTCCAGTCAAGCCATGCAAGACAGCAGCCCCATACATCACCTCAATTGGCCAAGCCAACAAGATCAAAAGGAGTAGCAGGAACCGGGAGAGCAAGTAGCCAGCCAGAGGCACGCAGATGCTGATCTTCTGATTTCTCTGGTCACCCAGCCTTGACAGGCCATAAGCTGATACCAGTGGGGTTAAGCCATCAACAAGGTTGTAGATGATGTAAAAGTTAGAGATTGCTTTCTGCTGGGCCTCCTCACTGGAATGCACTGAAGAAGAGTTGGTCTGGTTGTAGTAATTCTTCACCACCAGCAACAGTCCTGTGTCATAGAAAGCACTGGCAAGCTGAGCGCCAGCCACAAGAGGTCCAATCCAGGTTCTCATCTTTATGGTGTCAACAACTGTGGTCACTGGGAATCAGCTGCTTAGTTTCTCTGAGGAAAAGGAGAAAAGAAGGCTGGGAGCCAACTCAGTCCTTCTAACCTGAACATAAAAGCTTGCTTACAACGTGAAAGGCACAAGCAAAAGAGCTATTCTCTTTCTCTGCCTCCTCAAACAGGTTCTTTTCTTTGTTATTCTCTCGCTCTCCCTCAAGGTCCGATTGTGTTGGCAGGCACTGGGAGCACGCCTCAGCACTGAGACTCTTCCGTGAACCTTCAAGAAGTCACATGATGTGAGCTGAGGAATTGCTCAACCTGATTTTAGGAAGTGAAAGCAGTTTGGTCAGTGTGTTTTAGAAGTGACCAAAAATATTACATTAGAGTGAAACTTTCTTGGTATGCACATGTGGGTGTGTATGTGTACAAACTCTCCCTTGCCCCTCCCCCCCCCCCAATGTAAGATCAGGTCTTTCTGTTAAGACTGCTAGCAAGATACAGTTCTTACAATGTTGATCAGACACGTGAAGCATCATGTGAATATAACAGTGTGTGTGGTCAAAAGAAAGAGACAGACGGAGTGAAAAAGGGTCGATGGGTAGGATAACTAAGTAAATATTAGTCCTTTTCTGTATCTATTTCAGAAGGAAAATGGTTCAATAAACAGAATGCCTCAGTAATGAGTTAAAAAATGTTCCCTGCCAGCTTTACTACAGGAACTGCTCACAGGTATATCAGCAAATCAGATTTTACCCCAGGCTTCTGCCACACCTTGTTAGAACAAGCAAGCAATTTTTTTGTCTCAATCGATCACCTTAGCAATATGACTTTTTAATAGTGCAAATCTGATCCTTCCCAAACGTTTCAAAGGTGGCAGATAGTGCCTATAGAAATCACAAATCATCAGGTTTGTGCATACTAGTTTTGTGCTACAATCTTGCACAACCATTCCCCACCCTGTACAGAAAAAGGCTGTTGGGCCATATGATAACTCTCTTCTCTAAAATGGGCATCATTCTTGTGTATACGATTAAGTGGGAATAGGATGACAGTCTGGTTCAATAGGTTTTCTCTAGATGAGAGCCATTGTGTTTCTGTACTTCCAATTAAAAAATCTGCATTGTATTTCACCAAAGTTGTGTCCTGAGAAAGATAGTGATTTTTCTTTCTCTTCTTTCCCGAGATCAAGAACACACTAGTTCAGTGTTTCTTGACAACTTTAAGATGTGTGGACCTCAACTCTCAGAATTCCCCAGCCAGCTTAAAGTTGTCAAGGTTGAGAAACACTGCTCTAGTTGGATTATTTTTCATCTGAGTTTAGAGAGCTGATGATCTTCAGTGTTTCTTTTAGAAGCAGTCTTCCATCCTGCTTCCTCAAAATATTTAAAGCTCTTTCAAAATCAGTAATAGGGAAGGGAGAACCCCACATCAAAACTTTAGAGTGATACTTTCTTCAATTTTGCCCATTAACTTCCTTTCAAGCAGCTGTGCTTCCAACCCACATTTGGTTTCACAACCAGAGCAAAGGCTGTAGATTAGAGAAACCTATTATAACCGATATATATCAATAGAGATGTGATTCCCAAATCATGTTCTCATCCCAGAGAAAACTGGCAATGAGCTTTACCATACCAGAAGGATGAGTAAAAGGAACCGAGAATCACTAGTAATTGCTTATCTGGGAGGAGTGATACCACGAACGACTAGAGATTAGTAAACAAGAGCCTGTGGTCTGGAAAGCAGAAATATTCTATGTGCTTGGGAATGAGCTGAAAATTGAATGGGAATTCTAGTGCAACTAGAAATTTCAAAAAGGCTTTCTCCTCCTCCTTCCAGGGGGAACAAAACAGGGCAGCAATTTACCAGGAGTAAATACAAGCCAAGTGCTGGCAACAGCTAACATCTGTGGATAAAGGCAGTATTGTTTCATGATTAAATACTAACTAGTACATAATGATCGAGAACATTGTTTTTGCTCTTCTGTGAGAAAAGGGCAATGGCAGCTTGAGCCCCAATAGTGTGAGTTGCAAGATAGCTGTTGTGTATTTCAGAATACACCAATTATTATCAATTACCTGAGCACTCATAGGGAAATCTTCAGATGTTTCACATCTTTAGAGAAGGATACACAGATCCCTTTTCTAGAGTTTCCAGTAATCTTGTTTAAATCAGGCAAATACATTTGCCAAGTGCTACAGCGTGTAAGGCTACTCACAGTCTAGGCAAAGAACTACAGTCATCATAGAGTTGGGCAGCCTTCTACAGTTCTAAAATAAATAAAATAAACCTAAATCAATTCAAGTTACAACTGAGAGCGCTTATTAAAGAATCAAGGATGGAAGCTCAGAAAGGGCCAGATACTTTTTAAAATAAGTTGCCCAACTAAAAGATCACAGAGGTGGAGGTGCTCTTTGCTTATGACCTGTGACTTGTCACTTGGGTTGTTTCTGAACCAAAATGGCCCCTCTCAGAGCATCAAGATTACTTCCTCCTGCTTCAACCCAAGTCCCTCCTTGCCAGCCTTTCCAGGTAGACCAGACAGGAAACACGATCAGATGAGCCAATTCTACTTTATTGTAAGGCTACATTAACAGAATCTTGCAAGTCTGAGAGTGCAATTCTCCTGCCATCTCCTTTACCCTTGAGAAATTAGGGAGGATCTCTTCTGAGCCTCTTGCTCTGCCCACTATGCAGTTGTGGGCTATGCTCCCTCTTATCAGAGCATTCCCTAGGCAGCATCTTTTCACCCCGTCTCCCAAGGCCATTGCCACATACCCTTACACTCCTCCACACCAGTGACCTGTCAGTCAAACTAACAGGCATGGAAAAGGGGTGCAGGGTGAAGCAGGAGGGAGCAATCAATCATGAGCAGGCTCAGTCCTTGGCCACTGCTGCAAAGGAAAGGCAGTGCTGACAAGTGGTTGTGGCCATCAGGACCCAGAAGTAGCCCATGAGGTAGGCAAAATGGGACCACCTCTGCAACTAAGGATTAAAAACAGCAAACAGCACAGCCACACAAAGTCTCTTCTTGGCAGAAGCAGGAGAAAACTTGCAATGCTTCCAATGGGAACAGAACTAGCAGCACACAGCTGGTAAAACCTGTCTTTCTTTCTTAGTTTAAGTTGACCTTCGGTGCACTTTTCCCCATGTTTATAAAAAGGCTGACCTAGCACTCTTTCAAAAGAGTACTAAACCCATGTATTTAAGGAATCCATGTAAGGCCTAATCAGGGCTCCAGAAAGCACCAGTCAGGCATTCCACAGGCAGGTGACTTTGTGGAGGCTTGCCCCAGCCAACATGGCTCTGGAGGAGAGCGGCCAGGGATTGGAGGGAAGCCCACAGGTATTGGACAGCTCCCATCCTAATGCCATCATCAACCACGTTGGCAGCGAATGTGCTAGATTGTGCTGTCAGCCAAAATTGGATCAGGAGAAGGAAAAAAGTACTTCTATATGGAATAGCTAAAGATAACTTTAAGCTGCCTCATCTGTGGGTTGGAGATGAAATGAGGGCAATATCATGATGTGTCATATGTTTGCCAGGGGACCTCTGTGTTTTGGTTTAGGGAGACATAGGATGAGCCAATAGTCAAATGAGGAGGAATAAATGCTGGATTCATCAACAAAATCCCTTCTGCCGAATCCCACCCAGAAAACAGGAAATAATTATGGAACAAGAAGACACAAGTCAGTATATGTCGTCTTTATTTGGTCTTCCTCTAGATATCTCATTGTGCAACAGGTCTTCCGTGAAGGGAAGACTTCCTTTTAATAGCTTCTAATTAATTTTTAAAAATACTGTTGTATAAATCTATACATTTCTATATTCCATATTTCTGATAGTTGGTGCTCTTCCAGTCCCAGCCAAGAACAGGAAGTTGTTCTGAATCACACAGAAATCTATTAATAGATCCAGGTGGAATTCCTGATCACCCCTATTTTGGAGTGCATAAGGGAATGAGGCACTTCCCAGTTTGCCCGAGTACCACTTTGAGAGTTGCACTGGTTGCCAGTTGGCTTTCAGGTGTAATTCAAGGTTCTGTTTGTCATCTATAAAGCCTGCCATGGCTCAGACTTGGGTATCTGTAGGGCCACCTTCTGTATCTGCCCATTCAATAAGATCTAGGAGGAGAGGCTTGCTCTGTCTCTCTGTTCAGGGACTGCTGCATTCAGGGACCATGCAGGCAAGTTGTCCCCTCCCCCCGCCCCTGCTATGGAACAGAATTGCCCCAGATAGCTGCGTGCCCCCCTCCCCTGGTTCTTAGGAAGTCAGTCAGAATATGGCTATTTCTTCAGCCCTTGGAGGCTGGAATGGGATGATCTGCTCCACTAATACAAGCTTTTTTTTGCTTGATGGTGGTTGAATGGATTAGAATCTTGGGCTATACGTTGCTATGTATCATCATTTTTCATGAATGGTGGTTGCTGTTTTATTGTAATGTTTATTGCTTTTAATTTAATTTACAGTGGTTGGCAATGCATACTACTCAGAGCTTTGACTGAAGTGGTTTATAAACCCCGCTAAATAAACAAACAACCCCCCCCCCCATTACTAGGACTCAGAGGAATCTGTTTACATTATTTCTGTTTCTATTTCAGGCTGAACAGTCATTGTTCAGTGGGGTGAGTAAATTATTTGGTTGTGTCCTCATATGGGGAGCAACTGAATGTCCAGATCAAAGTTAAAACTAGAGGGTAAAACTATTATTTCCAGGAGAGACAGAGGACCAAGTTCAGGGTTAGAACGTGGACTCAGACAGAGACTGTTCAGACAGGATCTTTCATCAGCATGTATGCTGGCTCACACGAGAATACTATTTCTAAAACAGATCTATACAAGTCCAAAACAGAAACACTAAATGTTCTAAAGGCTACACAAGATGACAGTAACAGAACATTATCAATCCATTTGAAATCACTGATTTCACCAAGTCTCTGAGCACAGGAGCAAAGGATTACCCTCCAGGAAATTTCCATTCTGAAATTATTTCTACTTCTGCTTTTGCCATCTCATTCCCGAATAACTATTGGAATAGATGCTGCCCTTACAGGCACATTTTGTTTCTATGCCTCATTTATTCAAACAGCATTTAGAAACAGCAGATTAAAGCTTTGGGCGTAGGCATCCATAACCCAACAGTATTTTAGAGGCCATACTTACATCAGCGAAGCAGGAAGCTCATTTCCTCATGCCACGCTCCGAAGTCAAAATAAAGAATAAATGAATAAATAGAGTTCATTCAAC